TCCGCCAGTCTGAGTATAAATGCTATTTAGGTTTGTTTTCACCGAGTTACAAAATCAAAACTACTTTCTACTCGTAGTAAAATATATATTTGATTAATTGCTACACACTTTCTATACCACTAACTGAAAATCCTTCCTCATATGACGTCACTGCAGTGCTCTGGCGACAGAGTTACGTAACCTGTTTGTGGTTTCGTTGGCGGGCGAGAGTGAAGCTGGCGACTTTTTGGCAACTTCTAATCGCTCGGTACTAATTAACCACAAGTTTTTAAAGAATTAATTTGGTGTTCCGCATAAGACTGACCACAAATTTTCCATATGTAATAGTTAAAAGAGTAAAAAAAAACAAAGTTTATTTGTTCTTTAACAGCCCGACATAAGGCATTGATATATAATGGATACCGGCCACATTCGCCGTAAGCTATAGCATTTGGCGTTTGTCGACCAACATTTAGAAATATTTTACATGCGATAATATGTACATTTTTTTATTTTCTCAAATCTATTAAGTCCCCACACCTCAGAGCCGTATAATAAGATAGGTTGAACCTGTGAATCAAAACATTTTAAAAATACAGTAGGGTCAATAGTATTTAATGTATTCACGTTATGGAGAATTTCCACCAGTGCACGTTTACCTCGGAGAGCTAGATCAGATGCGCAAAGAGTCATTTTAGAGGTAGAAGAAAAAATAACACCAATATATTATTATTATTGTCATTAAAACTACTCATTCCGACATTTAATTAACTTAAATCGACCTTTGTGACAACAGTGCACAATTCTCTCCCGCGAACGAAATTTCAAACAATCAGAGGGGGGGGGTTCTCCGTAACGTAATGTGTGGTATAAATATGAGGGGCGATGTAGAATGCATGTACATTTCCGAGGGTAGATTATCTTGTTTACAGGTTTGTCTAAACCTGAAATCGTGACAGTCGTTGTGAAAAATGAAACCTTTATGTTTTCACATTCTACTGTCATTTAATCTTGTCACCTGCTTTGCCTAGCTTCCGAGTTACAACTTGTTTTCATAGACGATTCTGTCGAAACCGCAGTGGGACATTAGGAAGGGTGGATGCCTATCAGCAGCGTTCGAAATACCTGCCTGCCCGACCGCCCAGGGCGGGTTAGTTTCAAAATCTCAAATTCACCTGCCTGACGGTCAGGTTAAAATTTAGACATGTACATGTATATGGAGATCTAGTGTGGGCAGTTTTAGTCAGGGCTGGCAAAGTTTCCATCAAACCAGCCCTGTGGTCTGGCTGAATTTTTGGGGAGTTTCATACCCTGCCATCAGATACCGTTATTTGAAAATATCCCCGGTACTTCTTGTCTGATTGTAATAAAGTATCCCATCAGTGTAGGATTTTTCAGATTTTCGAATGCTTGGATGGTATAATGACTGATCCAATTTGATCCTATTTCTGTGTTTTTACCTCGATATTTAATCATGTTATGTAAAAATAAGATGTCTATTTCCTGCTATGATATTAAAAACACACATTTGATATATTTGAATCCGTAAAATAAACAACCCCACTTTGCCATTGTTAGAAAAATCTGAACATTTACTTGGGTAAAAATAGGTAATAACACTTTTTAACTAAGTATACAGCAAATGCTTATATGCATTTGTTATGCAATAAAGAAGTTCAGTTCGTATCCTCAAACCAGTGTCGGCCCATATATTGTTTTCCAGGCAATCAAACTTGCATGCAATACATCGTTTATTACTCTCTTGCTGTAACCTTTGTTTGGTGGTTAACTTACACATTATTGATCATTATTCACTTGATGGTCAGTTAATGAATTTATAATAGGTATAAATAGTGGCAACACCACTCAGATTACCCGACAAAGGTTCCCATTTGGCATTTCTCGTGTCTGGAGTAAATACTCATCATGATGAATTAAGCCTAGGTCTGATGTGGCAAGTGGATTACATCTTATGTGATATGCCCATTGAAGTGCAGCAAGAGGAATCATCAGCTGATTTACAAAACAAACATCGATCAAAGGATTAACCGATAACATGCTGGTTGATTAATTGCTTTTATCTTGCACAGCGAATTTGTTAAAAGGTAGTGTTTATGTATGTGGTTTTACTAATCTATACTGAATACACCCTGTCGTAAAGTGTCTGTGTAAAACCAACGTATTTCTTTCAAAGGATTAATCGCCAATACATTGGTTGATTGCTCATTATTGGCTAACTAAATTACTTTTTTTAAAGAATGGCGGACATCATGCAATTAGTTGCCAGGTGTGCTATCTTGGGTGACCAACGGGTGACCAATTGGACTATACACCAATGTGAAAAACCTGAAACGATAGATCACTTTTTCGTATATAAGAGTGTTAAAGACACATGGCATGAAACAGGATTATTTGTCAGCTGCAGATGAATGGCATATCGTTTCTTTATGTTGATATTGATGGACATTGTCACTTCGACCCCCACCTCGCTTCCGTGGAAGAAATCGTTATGTTACAAGTTGTGTCATGCAAAATCCTTTTGGTCATGATTAAGATACGAATAGAAAGTAGTTTTGATTTTCTAACTTGATGAAAACAAACCATAATCTCATTTATTCTCGAACAGACTTTTGCCCGTGACGTACGATTTTTAAAAATGGCGGCGTCCTGTCACGAACATCCGACAGTCTGAGAATAAATGCTATTTAGGTTTGTTTTCACCGAGTTACAAAATCAAAACTACTTTGTACTGGTTGTAAAATATGTATTTCAATGATGGCCAATAGGATTTTGCATGACATAGGTAATAGTATAACAATTTCTCTCTTGGAGTGAGTGAGTGAGTGAGTATGGTTTAACGCCGCTGTTAGCAATATTCCAGCAATATCACGGCGGGGGACACCAGTTCTCTCTTGGAAGCGAGGTGGGTGTCAATATAATACTACTTACAATATTATTGTCACTTTGACCACAACCTTGCTTCCGGGGAAGAAATCATTACATTACAAGTTGTGTCATGCAAAACCCTTTTGGTCATCAATCATAATAATATACATATTTTACTACTGTTAAGTAGTTTTTATTTTATTTTTTACTCGTTGAAAACGTCGATAAATCAGCAAAATGACGAGCTTATTACACACTTTATATACAACTGACTGAAAATCCTTCCTCACTTCCGGTTCGCTGCAGTGCTCTGGCGACAGAGTTACGTAACCTCTCTGTGGTTTCGTTGGCGGGCGAGAGTGAAGCAGACGGCTTTTTGGCACCTTTTAATCGCTCGGTATTAATTAACCACAAGTTTTTTTTCAGAATGAATTTGGTGTTCCGCTGAAGACTAACCACAAGTCTTTCATATGTAATGGTTAAAAGTTACAAAAAAAAAACAAAGTTTATTCGTTCTTTGACAGTTGTAATCATTTCATTTTTATAGAACCATTTTTTCACATTTTGCCAAACACCTGCCCCTTCTAAATACAACAATCTTAGTTTTATCTAGTTTGACGCGTAATCCCCAAGTGTCAGCAATTTTTTATAAAATATTCAGTTGTCTCTGTAATCCAGAGATAGCATCAGATACTTAAATGACATCATCAGCAAACATCAGTAATAATCTTTCAAGCATATCAGGAAAACAATTGAACACCATATTTTCCATTCAAAACAATATCATTTGGCAATTCATTGACAAAAATGGAAAAAAGGATTGGACTTTATATACAACGTTGTTTCAAACCAACAGGACAGTCGAAATAATTTGTACAACGGTTCTTGTTAAATCTTACACAAGCTTTAACTGATTTATATATTCCTCGAAAGGCTGCCAGCATTTTACCATAGAGGCCTGTATTTCTTAGACATGACCACAATTTAACACGATTAACAGAATCATATGCTTTTTTAAAATCAACGAATGCGACATATAATTTCTTTCTTTTCTTAGATAAACACTTCTGTATAATTGCATTAAATGTAAAAATATGATCGACAGTGGAATAGCCCTGTCTAAAACAAGCTTGAGTCTCAAAAGTATTATCCAAACACACAGTACAAAGAGTGCGTTATGCAACGAGCCTAAGGATTATAGTCTATAGCTTACAATATTCAGATTACACAATCATCCATAATGTTTTGCCATAATGTATGCGTAAAAGACTTTAACAAACCACACTTGCATATTATCAATTACAATAAAAACAGAATGCCGTTTTCTCCAACATGTTTCGTTCTTTACTCTTCAGGGAGATTGTAGCAGTTACAGTATGACGTCATTACATATATATTGTGACGTCACAATAGGGACAACATTCTAGAGCGACAAGGTCAAAGCTTGCAATGGTTTAATTAGGAGATAAACATCATGTGTTGGCCAATTTCCGGGTGTTATTGAGTATTTGAAGCATGGGAATTCATTTGGAACCGACGGCGTCAGCCGGAGGTTTCAAATGAAATATTCCCGTGCTTCAAATACTCAATAACACCCGGAAATTGGCCAACACATGATGTTTATCGACATTGTAAACACAAAAGTAAACCAAAAGGTCCACACACGTATTTTGTGTCTGTTCTCATTGACATCGAGTACGGGTACAGCAGTGAAATGTCATCAGCCGGCCGTTTCGGCTGTCTCTCATGGTAGCATCCGGAACTGCTCATTTGTGACGTCATTCGAACTTTACGTCACAATATAACTTTAATGACGTCATCACAGCTGACGACGTAACAATACCATGGTGTGAGCGATGTTTGTATGTTTTAATTCGCAGAGAATTTCCGGGAATCAAATACCATTTGATCACGTTTTTCAACCAATCAGATTAAAGAACACAGTGACTTTTGGTTTACAATATTGGTTTGATCTTATCTATTGAACTTTTTTTATATATATAAAAACCCGGGTAGATTTGGTCTTCAACCACCAATGTTTGTCGGAAGAGGTGACCAGGGGGTTTGGGTGGTCAAACTTGGTTGATGTTTATTAAGAACAAAATGCACTATGTGACAAAAAAAATCACTTCCAGCTAACCCAACATCATGCGCTGAAGCCAAAGAGTGCGATCCATCAAGCACTGATGGAGAATACTGGCTTCGTATACCACACTTTGGTCTGTACAGAACCCGGATCTACTGTCACAACATGAACACCAGCAACCCCGTGGAGTACATGACGCTGCCTTCGCCCAACTACGGTATTTACCCAGCGGTAGCCAACCAAAACTGCGCTGGAGAGACACCCCTTCGCTATTCTTGTGTCGGGTCAGGGGGCGAGTGGTGGTACATGAAGATAAGGATTGACATTGAGGTATTTCAGTGCATGATTATGACTTGTCGTTACACACTTAGCTTGACAGCAGTCTGTGTTGATATTCTCTGAGGAATGGACTCTACACAATATGAAGTATGTGTGAATCAAACCAGCTTCCATTTTTTGCTGGTATAAACAGGAAGCCATTCATAGGAAATACTACGGAGCCAGCAATGTTTTTATATAATCATTAATTTGATTAGTTAAAGTTATTCAAGCAACAATTTTATGCTAATTTTGATGTTTTGATAACGATCAAAAGTTAAAATAAGTTTAAATGTTTTCCAAAGCTTAAAACAGAAAGAAGCTACCTCCATTGAAGTTTTGAAATATTCCGATTTAGGGATCTCTTCTAGTGTAAAGGCTTCACTCTTTGAAACATTGCATGTTTACATGTACATGCTTTAATGGAAAGCTTATGAAAGGTTGTGTGAAATCCTTGCTGTTTTCAGGACATGGGGGGTTGTACGAACTGACAAGACTTTTGCTGTTTTTACCAACCATGAAGTATATTACGCCCAGGCTGAGGACTGCTACACCAAGCACTATGGCGTACTGAGTTCCTGTGGAACCAAGGGCGAGTTTACCGTCAATCTAACAAGTACAGGCTGGCTGGTGGATCCAGATGTGAGTATGGGTCAAATGGCTACAGTATATCATCGTGATGTTTGTGAAGCTGCACAGCAATGTATGCCAGTTTTCCAAATGCTAAAGAAAGTCAATGCCCGTTAACTAGTTTTACTGAAACTGTAACGTACGTATGTTGTTTAAGTACGCCGCGTATATAACCATGGTTAGATTGATAAATAGGATGAATTGCCTAATAATGTAATCTTTGGTTTTGGACATTACATGACGTCATATACGCATACCCACAACACGTTGAGTCGTGTTCCTGTGATATGTCAATGAAATGGTCAGAGGCCTATCACCTTTTGAAAATGGATAAACTTGAGAAATTTGCAGTGGGAACCAAACGAGCTGAAATTTTTACGAATTTCCTCAAGTGTTTAAACCTTTCCAAAAACAAATTATAACCATGAAGATCCGGGTTAGAATTGATCTTCAGTAACCAATGCTTGTCGTAAGAGGCGACTAACTGGATCGGGTGGTCAGGCTCGCTGACTTGGTTGACACATGACATCGTATCTCAGCTGCGTAGACCGATGCCTATGCTGTTGATCACTGGATAGTCTGACCATATAGCTGGAACAGTGCTGAGTGCGGCGTAAAACAACCAACCAACCAAAATATTTTAAAAGATAAGGTCATTCTTATTTAGTCCATTATACTACCACTAAGGTAAGCCCCACCGGTGGCTCCTGTTAATTAGCAAATCCATTTCTTCACGAGTGAGTGAGTCAATATTTATCGTCACCTCGGCAATATTTTAGCCATATCGTGACGAGAATAATTAATGATTATATCATATATCAATAAATTTAGAAATTAAAACCTGTGGACGAAGAACAGTAAAACTACTAGTGTATCACAGATATCCATTTAAAACTAGTAATTAAATCTAAAACATGTTAATTAGAAATGACAAGACAATGTAAAAACAGGCTATAGATTGCCAACAACTGAAGGTAGATCGCCATACTAGGGACCACGGGGACTTACAGTACATTTGCTTCCTGCATGGACCCTTGCTGAATTTACACCATCCTTTCAGCCGTTAGCAGTTCAGACACATTTAGACATACATTAAAAACACACATATTCTACGATTAAAAGGGTTGGATAGATTTAAATTGACTTTGAATGTTTTGGGACTTACGTACCCTCTCATTTCTTCATGAATTGTAAGATGTAAACACATTTCGCTGCTTAACTTCCATTTCATAAAGATAAGGAGAATATTTATCAGTGTGTGTTTTATATTAGTATAGCAGCTTGACTGGTCAACTTCATACCATTTCATTTCAGGTGGAATGGATAGCAGAGGGATGGAAAGCGATCATTGAGTCAATAATCAGAGAAGAAGGAGGGTCTGTCATTCGCCTTAAGTGCGGGGGATTCCATGGATATTGCTATCCCAAAACCAGGATGACCGTTGTGCCATCCTTTGAAGGTATAAACAACACCCTCGTCATAGCAAGCTGGTTTGTTCATTTTCATTCTAGAGCTTAGGTATTTGTCTACAAATCATACCTGATGCTTAAACATCCGACGAGACCTGCAATGGATTGTGTTAGTGTATGGGGATATTGGTCATATATTTTATGAAACATTTATATTATTTTTATTCAGTACCAAAACGTTGCAATGGAGGCATATTAATATGTTTCAGTTGTCCCCGATTCTTCAGCCACAGAGGTTAGATGCTCCGAATGATGCTGCAAAATCAACGCTTCATCGAGCGTTGCTTTGATCAAAATGTTGGTTCACACACTGAGCTAGAATGTTAACTTTGACTTGGCTTCACATTTAACCTGAGCAATTACTTCATCACGCGTTTCCCAAAGTCAATGTTATTTTATCGATTTTGTTTCGCTCAAATGACTAAAAGTCATTTCTTGGGAATTTTCGTTCACAATATAATGAAATTTGGTATATGGGTTGTTAGCAGTGGGGGCAAAAACGTGTTTATTGTGATAGGATATATTTTGGCCTTTACGTTTGCACGTTGACATGGTGCATAAATTCTGCCTGAATATAAGTAAGAGAGAAACCTACGGATAGTTTAAATAACAATGTTCATCCCAACAAATTGACTTTTAGCTGTTTCATTTTTTATTTCAAAAACTCAAAATTAAGATGTTTTATCCATAATTCGATTGTTTCAAATCAATTATTTTCTCGAAATTTCAAAACAACGAGGACAGCAGAGGCATTCCTGTCGAATTTCACCATCACATCACGGATTTTCGGGTGGAGGAAATGATCACTCTGTTCAATCCCATCACCATGAACAAACTGACAAACCAAGAAATAGCAATAAAAAATAATAAAATAAATAATCAAGGTGAACCAGCAACGCGATTAAAGTTTGCAGCTACCATCTGCTCTACTGATCGAACTGCAGAACCTCTGACAACAGGACCACCTGCGTCACACCTTATCTTCTTGGAGGAATCAGTTTGGACAGACGCCAGAATACACCCGCCAAGCCCAAGGATGCCCTATTTGTCAATACGTACGGACTTCATGTGTGAACTGATTAAATTGTGCGTTCCGATATCAAAGCTGAACATGTGGACTGTACATTGATATTTTTATGCAGTATCACAGTCAACCTATGACATGAATATTAAAATACATTTATATTGGCGAAATAAAGATACTATGTTTCATGTAAAGTGGTGAAAATGTTGTCAGTGAAGATAATGACATTGTATTTGAACAAGCATCTGAACATTCAAATGATAACAATCCCATATATCTAGTAATAGCAGGCAGAGCTGTTCACAAAAAGGGAAAGTAGAAAATGCATTAACAGTGTCAACAGCTGGTGCCATCACGATCTGATAGCTGCAACTGTGATTTGAAAACAGGCTGGCTCATGTTTATCAGAATGACAACGGAGCTGGCTTCACTTTGTGCTGTGTTACCGGTTGGTTCTGGTCCAGTCGGAGACGTCCTTAAATCCTACCCAGATATGTTCTATGGGGGGAGGTCTTGGGAAAAAGCCAGGCATCCCTATCCTTGAAACACTGGGGCGTTGATGAGAAGCAGTCAGTATATAGTTTTATCCTCAATGTTTTCTAGGACGTTTCTATATCGACGTCGCAGAATTAAAAGGTTGTATCTGCAGATCTGCAAATTTTTAAACTTCTGAGATAATCAAGAAAAACTGTTTTAAACACGTACTTCTTGAGATGATGATTTGAAGTTTTTCATATCAGCAAAGCCGTAAGGAAGGAGTATCTTAATACTATGTACCTTATTGTATGCCCTTTTTAAGATGAATTATTCACTTTTTAATGTTTAATTACTTTCTTCTCCTGACATTTGTCTTGAAGTTCGCCCAAAGAATGGTCGTAAGTGACACATGCTGCCTTTTGATACTTTGTAGAAATCTACGCTAAGGCTGTAAATGGCACTTACGTCCTTTCAGGTGACCATGATAATCTACCCTATACGCATAGATACGTCCAGATTTGCATTCCTGTTTGCACGCCATATTGGGGGATCTCTGTGCAGGACTTTTAATGAAGTAATTGCAAATATATCTCTTCTCTGGTAGGTTTTAAATATTGTAAAGCTTATTTGATGAACGGATGGCATGTTTGCTGATGTTTTGCAAACCTATGATGAAAAACAAATTCCAGGTTAGTATTTGCAGGGATCTTTACTCAACTGAGCAATATCAATCTATAACATCAGTTACTTAAAAAAAAGAGCAATCACAACTGAACATAATTGCGTGATTACGAGAAGACTTCCCAACCTCAATATCCATGAGCAAAAAAATATCCTAAATGCATTTTTCTTCTGGAATATACCTAGCCATATGCAAACTGATACTCAGTTAAGGAAACTGAATAAACTAGCCATGGACATGGTTATGGTTTCACTCACACCAATTAAATCAAGTTACACGATTTTCTGTTCAAATAACGGTAAACTCTTTCAAACATTAAACGAATGATTAAAGAACAGCACTTCAACAACATATTTCCTGAGAAACAGAACTTATTTCAACAACTTATTTCAAATATCTGAATCAGAGCTCTCTTCTTCGTCTGGCTCGGGAAGTCTGTCTTTGCTGTGGTCACCATGTGCCAGTGATGTGTAGAAATGCCTGCAATTATCTGGCATAAGGCCTTTGGAACACAAGTTTGACAAATCTCTGTACTTGGCATCGCTAATAGGTATGGCTGCAGAATACAAAGGTCTAACTTCAACACCTTTGAGGGATTTAGCACGTTGTCCAGTTGCATGTCTGATATTGGTTCTGTTGATTGAGAAAGAGCGGTATTCATCTCCAAAATCATATTTGAAGAAAACGTTCTCAGGTTCATCCTTTCTGTACTGAAATGAGTGAATCCTTGTCCACTCAACTTTGGTTCCATCAGTGGCTCTGTTTCAGTTTGTCACCAGAGTATCAACAATAGATTTGAAGTTGTAGACACTCCTGCAGTCAACCTCAATCACTTTGTAATGAGGAGGTTTTTGCTTTGCATTTCGAACAGCAGCCATCCATTCCATTGGGGTGTACAATTCTGCATATTTTGTGTACCTCTCTATTGTTGCATGTACAGAGTCCCCTTCCATTTGTGAATGTCCTCTTTCAAAGTAATTATGTGTTATCATCTTGATTGGAAGATTTGCAACTGAAAGCAAACACATTGTCGAAAACTGAATGTTTCTTTGTTGGCCAGTGCAACTGTCTGAGTAGTAGATAAGTTCGTCCACAGGTCCCAAGGTTTTGTTGTATTCAAACAGACAAGAAGCAATCTCGCAACTTCCTCTTTGGCTTTAGTTTCATCCCACATGTAGCAGTTAACATTGTGCGTCGCCATGTCATAGACAGATAAGTTATAAGTTGCAAGTTTCCTACTGTAATAAAACTCGCAAACTGTAGATTTGGGAGTGATGAGAACTTTCTGCAAATCAAAATTTACTACTTTTATTGCACTGTTGGATTTTGCCCTTGTCTTATCAGCTTCCTTTAAGGTTCGTGCTTGCATTTTACGACGTGTGTGATCCTCCATTTTGGGTTTGTTGATCAATTTGTCTTCTTGACACATGTTTTGGTATGAGAAACAAAACGAGCAATTATCCTTTTTGGGTACATGGAAACCTAGGTTGAATTCAGTTCTGAATATTGAGCTGTATATGTGCTGCTTGACGGGAAGGTGATTGTTTATTTTGCATTCTTCTCTATACAGTCTGTACATTTTTGAAATTGAGAGATCCTTTGAAAGATATTGCCTTTGCGAAGTTAGCCTGCAATAGTGAGAGTCTACTTTAGGAAAAGACATTATGTGATCCCGAACTCGACTGCGTTCTGCCTGTGGAATTTTGGTCTTCGGACTCATCTTCCATCTTTGGTCAACAGAGTGAATAGTGTTCCTTTTCATAATCGTGTTATACACGGTCTTTTCACCTATGCCTAAAGTTGATAGGAAAAATGCTTTGCACACTTGCAGCATGTTTGTGTCAGATGGGAGATGGTACTCATACGTCTGGCTACGTCTTGAAGCAGACCCTTTTTTCGTACGTCTGTTTTTCTCAGTTGCCTTTACATGACGTTTCAAAAAGTCACGTTGTCTTTCATAAGATAATTTCCAATAGGATGAGAAAACATGATGTCTGTCATCATCTTTGAATGTTCTGCAGAAATATTTGCATTTACATGGACATTGTTTGCATTCTCTCATTGGGACTCTTTTTCCTCGTGTATTTGTGTACTCCTCTCCATTGTTTCTTTTTCTTTTCCGTTCATTTGATTTCCATTTTTCAGGGTTGCGAGTACGACTTCTTGACATCCGTGGCTGCTGCTTATCACTATCTTCATCGCCTATTTGTGGTCCCCCGTCATCTCCATCATTTGTATCAAAGTTTTTTTCTGTGTTTTCGGAAGTGACTGGTGACAAAACTTGATTTGTATTGGTTTTGGATGTCTTTTGGCGTTTACGCTTCAGTAATTCTTTCATATTTGTGTCACTGTCATCCGTAGAATCAGATAAAGAATCTGGTAGTCTGTACTCATCACCAGATGATTCATACTCGTCCTGTGAACATGAGTCACTGATATCCTGGGGTGATTTCATTTTACAAATGCCGGTTGTGTCCCCTTCTGTTGTGTTATCAAACGATGATAGCAAAGTGGGTTTGCTGGAAAGAGTTGCTTGATCACAAGTACTAGATTCAAGAAGATCGGAATTGAAACTTGTGTCTTCAGGTGTTGATGTACCGCTGCATAACTCCATGGAAGTTACAGGATACCCATCATTGTTGGATGTAAATAGAGCATTGGACAACAGATGACTCAGGGGTATGTCATCATCTGAGTCAAACTGGATGTCAGCATTATTTGAGGTTACCTTCATCAGTGTACAATGACTGATAGAAGCGTTATCTCCATCATCAGATGACCGAAGATTGACATCATTTGAGGAAACTTCTATGACATGTGAAACTGGGATCTGGTTGATGTCAACTGTACACGGATTGGTTTTCATCAAGTCACTCTTTGATGTAGATGTCTGACTATGGCTTGAGAGACTGGAGTAATTGTGAATTTGCAGATTGTCCAATGGTAGAGAATGCTGATCCACTTCTCTACTCTGCTCAGTAAAGCTTGGTATGTTATCAGCCTTGGAATGAAGCACTGGAAACTGACTCAGATCAGGACGCTCTGCATGCTCATGTGTACTAGCTTGGATACAATATTCACTGAATGTCGTATCCTTAGAGGTAAGAATCTCCTCAGCTCTACAGGCATCCATCTGCTGCTCATCACAGGTAAGAATCATCTCAGCTCTACAGTCATCCACGTGCTGCTCCTCACAGGTTAGAATCTTCTCTGCTTTACAGGCATCCACCTGCTGCTCATCACAGGTTAGAATCTTCTCTGCTTTACAGGCATCCACCTGCTGCTCCTCACAGGTAAGAATCTTCTCTGTTCTACTGTCATCCATCTGCTGCTCCTCACAGGTTAGAATCTTCTCTGCTCTACTGTCATCCACCTGATGCTCCCCACAGGTTAGAATCTTCTCTGTTCTACAGTCATCCACCTGCTGCTCCTCACAGGTAAGAATCTTCTCTGTTCTACAGTCATCCACCTGCTGCTCCTCACAGGTTAGAGTCTTCTCTGTTCTACAGTCATCCACCTGCTGCTCCTCACAGGTAAGAATCTTCCCTGTTCTACAGTCATCCACCTGCTGCTCC